GCCATTGCTACTAGGTTGGAGGCCATCGCTACTAGGGTGGAGGCCATCGCTACTACGGTGGAGGCCATCGCTACTAGGGTGGAGGCCATTGCTACTAGGTTGGATCGCTACTAGGGTGGAGGCCATCGCTACTAGGTTGGGGGCCATCGCTATTAGGTTGGAGGCCATTGCTACTAGGGTGGAGGCCATCGCTACTGGGGTGGAGGCCATTGCTATTAGGTTGGAGGCCATCGCTATTGGGCTGGAGGCCATTGACTAGGTTGGAGGCCATCGCTACAGTACTAGGGTGGAGGCCATTGCTACTACTTACAGTAGGGTGGAGGGCATCGCTACTGGGGTGGAGGCCATCGCTATTAGGTTGGAGGCCATCGCTACTAGGTTGGAGGCCATCGCTATTTGGTTGGAGAGTATTCTCCCCCACTTTCTCCTCCCTTTGTTCCTCAGGCTCTCCGGAAGCCACCGGGGCCGGTTCTTCTCGGTCTGTCTCCTGGCAAACGGTCTCACGTGGAGAAGGATATTGTTTCCATTCAAGATGGTTCCACAGCAAGCACGGTCACCTTTGGCACTTCAGGAGCTTCTTCAACTGTGGCATTCACAACTGCAGCTGTATTGCTTGCCTGCACTCACATACCATTGGTCAATTGAGACGTTTCAATGTTCACGGGCCAAGGACAAGCCGCTGTGACAAGCCCGATAGCCCAGGAGCCCAGAAAGGAAAGGTCGTTAACTGTATATATATATATATCATTCAAAGAATTTCTGCCGATGCCTCTTCGGGAGCTGCTTCCCCCATGGCATTTACAGCTCCGGCTCCTGTAGTGCCTGCCTACAGCTGCAAACGCTCAAAACACCCCGCCCTACTTTCCACAATTTGATTGGGTGAGAGAACAAGTGAAGGCGCTGAGACACATCAGGTAGAAAACCACATAACAAACTGTGGCCTCAGCAGTGGTCACTCCACTTTCTGTGGCAGCGGCCTCCTCACAAAATGCCCAAAAGTGCCCCCCAAAGTAGGTGTGACGAACCAACATAATCAACTTTACAAGCAGCAATGACTGACCCATTTCACAAAGAGAAATTAATAAAAACATGTCTGACATTTGTTTAAACCCATGCTCCTTTGGCTCTTGAGGAGCTGTTTCGCCCACAGCGTTTGCAGCGGAAGCTCCAGTTGCTGTGGCTCTAGCCTGCCCAATGCCAGCATGTTTCAAGGTCACTTGCAGCTGGAAGTTTCAATTCAAGCAGGCTCGGCTCCACAAACAGTCTCCACCTCTGCTATGGCTGCTGCATTTGTTAGATTGGAGGCTTCATCCTGGCAATTGCGATTGCCGCTCCTATTTGGAGCGGGAGGTGCTGGAATGGCTGGAGCCCCGTGAAATCCATGCGGCAGGCATCTCAACGTTTCTTCTCTCGGGCCTTCCGACACCTTCGGCGCCCCCCGGCCCAAGCGATGGTTACAACTGTTCCAAGTAACCTGGACCGGCACTGAGCTAGCATTCGGGGAAGGCTGCTAGGCATGCCAAATGGCACCAGGAAAACCAAAGGATAAAATGATTTTAGATAGGTGATCGGTGATCCATGGCGTAAAATGACCTGAACTTTTGCCAGAATCCCCTTAATCATCCTCAGTCCTTGGCTCTTCCCTTACCCTTCTCACAAGTACAAACGGAACTGCAACAAGGATGATGAAGGATAACCAAGGTGTCTTTGGTCAGTCTGGCGTCATATTGCGTCCTCATGTCCAACAGTGAATGCACTCCTCCTGGCTCATGACAGCATCAAGACTGAAAAGCACTCATTGTGGGCTTGAAATGGCAGCGGGATCTCATGTCTTCTGGACCAGGTTAGGATGCTCTGTCCGTGTGGTCTTACTTCAAACGGTTCTCAGATGTTCTCAGCTCTGAGTTAAGAATCATTGACTCATCCTGAATCATCTGTGAATATAAGATGGACTTGAATTTGCTCATAGATGCTCATAGTCTTTTTCCGACGCCAGAAGCCTCAACGCGCCATGCCACTGGGCAGCCTGCCGCGTTGCCATCCTTAATCGATGAACCTTGATGAACAAGAACGCCCTCAAAGGCGGCTAGGGCGGCTAGGTTTTAGAATCAACGTACTCCGGCAACGAACAAAAAACACCGAATTCCTTTAGTGCCCCTGAACAATCCCTTGAACAGCTTTGGCTTTCTATAAATCTTGTTTTGGCCAGCGAACTTCCCCCTCTGGCCTGGCAATGTTGGCTGCGATGGTGCGCCGTTCGCCCACACCGCGGAAGGGCCACACAAAGTGCTGGACCTCGGGGACGCTGAGAAGAAGGTCGCTGCGCTCAGAGCGGTCGCCCACCGTTGAAATCATGATCTAGTAACAAAGGGCATCGCTACTAGGAGCAAGGACGCTACTAGTTAGTAGCTCCTGGCCTTACTACTAGGACTAGGAACAATAAGCTAGTAGATGATGCCAGTAGGTAGCTCCTGAAATTTGGTCGACGGCATCGTCTTTAATTGTCATGCGGCCTCGCTCCCCTAAATAGCACGCTGAGCTCCATACCCATTGTGGAAAGACATGCAAGTAGCCCTCCTGCAAAGGAGACTCGGCACAATACGACACACAGGAGACTTCAAAGTGGTTTCACACACATGGCAGGCTGTGCCCTAGGCTGTGCCTGCCTGCATCTCAACACTGAGGACCTGTGAGGTTTGGAAATAGCGGTGCAATGTATCAACTCAGCTATGGTCGTTCAGACCAGCTGTGAGAGACTAAGCGAGGCACACCGGGGCATTCAAGTTGTCCTTGTGTTGCAGTAGAGTCTGTCTTCCAAATGAAGCTGGTGCCACCATCCTGGAAATTCGGAGAACATGCTTTCCTGCTCTCTTCGTGTTATTGTTATCTTCGTCTTTTTCTTCTTCTTCTCCTCCTATTCCGGCTTCTTCTTCGTCTCTCTTTGTCTCCGCCACTCTGTCCCACTGTCCCACCATGTCCCACCTCTGAGCCGCCTTCACCTGGGGACTCCCTGCCATGTTGGGCTTCTCGCAATCACCCAAACGACGCATGCCCAATGACAGCTCAGCACGCCTTTGGCCCACCTGTGGTGGAAGCTGCAAATGTAGGAAGGAGGAGAAGCCGAACATGGACCTGGACGCCAAACCGCTCCGAAAGCAGCTCAAACGATCGCTTGAAGTCACAATATCACTCTGAAACTCCAAACAGCAAGCCAACTGCCTGGCGTTATTGTGGAAGTGAACCTGAGGTTGTTCAATTTTGCACGGCTTACCGGCTTACCGCGCACCCTAATATAACTTATCATCATACTTAGTGGCTTAATGCCTCTGCAGCGCAAGTCTGCCTCAGCTGAGGCAGTGGCAGGATTGTAGTCGCCTTCCATCTGGTGCACTGTCCACACCTTGGTTGGGCTCTCGGAGAACTAACGCACAGTGGCACTCTACACATGCCGAGCATCATAATAGCATTAAAAAGCAAATTGCTGTTGAACCACAAAAATCGGCTGCTGATTTTGCTCAACTAGGTAACTAGGCGCCGGCACGGTGTCCAGAGCATACGTGGTCCCCTCGTCATCATCACCAATCAGGGTCTTGCCCAGCATTGCGGCCTTGAGCAGACAAAACACACGAGGCAGCATCAATACTAGACTCTTAGACTAGCGTATTCTTTTTCTTGTGCTATAAGCTGTATCAATTTATCACCTGTCGGGCTATCGCTTTACAATGTTTGCCAGCACTTATACATGTGGTATCGTTTTTGGGCAGTTCCCAATCTTGTCTCGAGGAACTCCGGCAGATGGTGTCAATGAAACTCACCTGCAATTCTAGGTGCCAAGCACTTGCCAACAGGATCTCTTCGAACTCCGGGTCTGGAGTTTGGATTGTAAGCTGCTCTCCCTCCTGGCAAGCTCATCGCCTCCGCCTGCTTCACAAGACAGGAACAAGAACAAAGCCACTCCTTCATCTCACCCTGCAGGAACAAGGCATGGCTTGGCGCATTGCGGGCAGCCTTGGGTGCATGGTGCAACTCACGGAGCAGATGACGTGCAAAGCTGCAGAGCTGTAAAGCATAGACACCTTACAATCCTTAAAGACTCCAAGCAGGGACGAGCATAGCAACGTTGAAAATTGTCGGGTCTGAGTTCCCTGCCAAGAGCGCATCACCTTGAAGACTGTTGTGATTACTGTACACAACATGCTCATTGAATTCATCACTCCATAACGTGTGCCAGCTCAACGAGGTTTCAACTGCAAGTGTCCATCTGTTGCCGAGATACACTGCACGTTCAATCGCGCCAGCAATCGATCGGGGCAGCGCACACGGATAAAGCCCGAAAAGACTAAGGGCCTCAACAAATCATCTTTCATGACCTTTTGTTTTCTCTGGTTAAGACCTGGCAATGCCTCTGTGTTTTTGAAAAGCTTAAGGGCACCGCCACAAGCTGTACTCAATAGTGCCACATGGACGTTGGAGAGCTCCAGCTACCTGAATTTGCAGTTCATACCATGCAAAGATGCAGTTCGCTTCAACTCGTCCTGGTGGTCCTGGAGGCTATGCAAGTACCCGCTTCTACAACTAGAAACGATCACAAAGGAGTATGACGCTCCTCTATATCGGGCTTGTTTTTGTTTTGTATACAAGTTTCGTAGCATTTCTACTCATAAATACTCATAAGATCTCATATATAAGTACTCATGACTCATAACATCTCGGGAAACCCTGTCACTCTAACTTGTCCGTGTGCCTCAGTGCCAACGGTGGTGAGGTCGGGCCTCTCCTGGCAATCATACATCGTGGCGTGGCAATTTTTTGGGCTTCATGATTGTCCCTCTACAAACGACATTTCCTCTCCTTGGCATCGTCCAACAGGATCAAGTTGTCTTCCTTTGCGTTGATGATCGATTATTGTGCCAGCACGTCACAACATCAAAGATGCAAAATGATGAAATAATCCTTGTCCTGTAAGAATTGCAGCTCACCAGTCCTTAAGCGGACATGCCAGCCTGGAATCCAAAAAGGAGTCAGTCACACGAGTAACGACGACGAAGCCCGACAAAATGCAACTGGCCTTTTTCTGTCAAAGAACAAGACAGACTGCAGAACTGACAAGGAGACTGCATGGAACAAAATATGGATGTCAACAATTATTTATGCCGGTGCATAGTGTGTATATATATATATATCAATATCACATATGTATTTCTACGTATTTCTTTATGTAGCACTGTCAGCCAAGTCCTCTTTTCAAACGAAAACCGCCATGTCTGAGTGCTCAGGTGCACTGTTCAAACCGAGCACCTTCAGCCGCAGCTCAGCCGGTGTCAAGTTGGGAGATTCCGCCCGGACCGTCATGGTCCGACCCAAACCGCGTGGCTCGGGCCGCACCACCGCCAGCAGGCGACCACCAAAGGCTGAGCGTCGTGGCGAAAAGTTAGGCTCCAAGCTCGAGGGGTCGCCATTGGCGGTGCCTAGAACGATACCTGGTTTGGGGAACGACTTTGAGAAACATAGCATATATATATATGTGTGTGAGAGAATATATGAGTCACATGAATCGTTTGAAAGCGGGTCTTGACATTGTCCGAAACATTGACTCATGGCATTTCATGGCACGTGTTTTGGCTTTTTGCTTCACCTCGTGCCTGAGGTTGCCGACACATGGATCATCTCGGAGGAAGTGGGCACCACAGCACCCTGATCATCAACCACCTCCACAGAGATCAGGCCAACATCCTGTCCATTCGCTCGAACTCCTTCAGCACCTATCCCATCCATGATCTCCATCCGCAGAGCTGATGGTGAACCTGTAGTGCTCACCACAGTGGTCTTCACCTTGCGGCCACCCAAATACCCCAAAGCAGTCAGGCTTCCCTTCATGTACGGCACTTGCCATTCTGCACGCGAGCACTGAGGCGCTTGGCGGCGTCCAAGGGACGTGCCATTCGGATGGATTAACTCAAGCTCTTCCAGATTCGAGTAGGCCCAAACATCTACAGAACCATGTCCTGGCTCCCAATTCCAATGTGGAAGAAGGTGTAACACATAGCCATCTGAGGGCGCTGTCCAACAAGCATGGTACCAGTGCGCCCGGTGCTTCCAAAAGCCAGCGATATCCAAGATGCCGAAATGGGAGTTCACATCGGGCCAACTGTAAGGTGTGGGCTCTCCACGGTAATCCCAACCAGTCCATGTGAAGCCACCTCCCACAAATGGGCGGCTTAGGATAGCTTGCCAGGCAACCTCAACAAGTGGTGTGCAGGCGACCATGATCTAATCAGGTCTGAAGAATTATAATTAGTTACTCGTCATGGGACCTCCCAAAAGTTATTGTATATAAGATTGTTTAAGTTCCTAGCAAAGTAGGAGGGGGAACACAACTAGATGCTCCAAACAAAAAGCCATCAGTTGCAAATGCTGTCTGCCCATCACCCCGCCTCTGCAGTCTGCCCCCAAGATGGGTGCTCAGTGTCGTAGTCTCGCACGTGACCGGCAGTCCGGTTGTTCCACACAAGGCCTGCCATTGGTGAAAGGTTACACTGTTAGACATTGTTAGACCACCAAATTCTGGCACCCACTTGATTAGATTTAACCGTACTCATGCTCATCCCTGCTCCAAGACTTGCCCCTTGCCAACCTTTCGGCTCTCAATCAACCACTTCAAGTGCAACTTGCAAAATTGAGACCCCAAGCCAAATCTGGCTGACTGGAGCATCCTTGCAGCTAGTTCAGCGCCTCGGTCTGAGTATGCTGAAGAGGTTTCACTACTAATTGCAGGAGCTTGTGGTGCTTCCGCATGCCACTTGTCATACATCTCCGGGCCGTAGTCGAAACCCATCAAATCCATCGGGGTTCGATTGCCATTGAAGTTGTTGTAGTTTGCCTGGGTGGCTGAGATGCCCAATTTTGAAAGCAAATGAAAGCAAATAACTGCCTGTTTAGTATGCAGGTGAACCTCAAATTCTTCAGAGCGAGAGGTAAAAGGAGGATGGAACAGTGGAACACATAGCGATACATAGCGCATGCATGTGTGCACCCCAATCAAGCAGTCAAGCATTCAATCAAGCATCTGCTCAACAAATGAGCATCTGTGATGTGGATACCCCACACTTGGCCATATGAGTTCAATTCATTTGAGCCAAGTCTCTGAGACGACACGGCCCATGTGGGGGTCCAAGCGGTGTGCCAATGCCTTCAACCTCTCCGCATCTCCACGCACGTCGATGGTGTCACAAAGTCTCCTGGAGCTCAAGAAGCTGCAGGCGGCCATTTGGCGGCCAATTGAATCCCTTCCAAATCCGACGGAAATCCAAAAAGCCGGATCTTTGGAGACAGGTTGTGGTAGAATGATGTGGAATGTCTGCCCTTTGATCAGGCTTCAATCCAACTGGCCTATATATAGTTACTTGGTGCGTGCTAGCTGCGGCCAAGTTTGAAGAGTCGAGAAAAAAGCGGAAAGTGCCGAACCGCTTCGCAAGTCAAGGTGCTCATTGCAAATGGACCAAATCACAATGCTCGGATGGTTCCGATCCCTTTTGATCATCACCTGCAGTGGAACGGTACAGTCTTAGAGTTGCCAAACTCGTGCAATTCTCAGCGCTAGGCGTTACCTTCCTCAAAACGGGATAAAACGGGCATCTGACCGAACAATCCCGAACATGTCTTCCAGGTACAGCATGATCAACAGCCAAAAATTGAGCAAACACGCCGTTCGCCTCCATCTCTTCATCCTGTCCGTTTCGATGGTTCTCATCCCAGACCAAAACTCCAAGACGATCCGCCGCATTCAACAAAGCCTCATTAGGAGGATTGTGTGCTGTCCGCCAGGCGTTGGCTCCAAACTGCTGCAGCTTCTTCAAGCGGTGCTCCTCCCAACACATGCCCGCTGGAGACATTCGTGGGTGGGAAAACCAGAATCAAGGCCTAGAACTGCCTGGACCAAAACTGTCCCAAACTCCTTTCTGCACTTGGCAGAATGTGCATTACAATGTCTAGTCTACACAATTCTACGACAGGCCAACAGGCTTACACCTTAGTAAAAGCCACATCAAGGGGTGTGTTTTACCTACACATCGGCGGCATCGGCTCGCCTGCAGGTGGTCCGGGACAGCCACCCCCAAAACTGCAAAGTCTTGGTGGTTCGCTGTTCCAAGGATCCTTGGAGCGTCCTAGTAGCGTCCAATCGCTCCGTTCGTAGCGATGCCAGGAGCCCCTAGTAGCATCCGATCGCTCCTAGTAGTAAGGCCAGGAGCCCCTAGTAGCGTGCTTGTTCCAAGGATCTTGGTCACAACTCCATTGATGGAGAAGCCAATGTCAGGGCTCCAAGACAGGTTTCCTCGGATCACCCCACCCCGGCCACCAAATAAGGCATGTGCCACAGGGTCCTTCTTCGTGGCCGGTTTTGGATCACGCGCAGGCAACATAGGCAACTGCAAAAAGCATTCCCAAACTGATTTGCAAACAGGCCTCTAACACCAAAGGTGGTTTTGATTTGGTCATCAGGCGGTCCTTCGTTCCCTGAATCTGTGCTCCAGATTTCAACCTGAGATGTGTCCAAGACCATGTGGCTACATGAGATGGCTTCGATGAGCTCAAACAGCATGTTCATCGCCCAGCCGCTATCATTTCATAGAGGGAAGGGCTGCCTGGAGACCAAAGTCGTGCACCTGGAAATTACTACGACCAACGGGGCAGCCAACGATAAATCCACCTGCGAACTAACCTCTTTGGCTTTGGCAGTTCCAGCGGCGCACTTCAGCCCCGGATTTCATCCAGCCTTTGAGGTACATGGTCTTCAGCGGGAACTCCACAGTCTCCCCCGGGGCCAGCACACTTCGGAGGTCCTAGCCGCTTAGCAGCCCAAATAACACTAAAATCATCGAAAGCATTCCAAAGTCCATTCCTTCAATTTCGTTTGACCGTGAGGTAAGCGCAGGGAGCTCAGTCCTGGTGGGTGATGAGTTGACCATCCAGCGAACGGATGGAGCAAGCAATGCGAATGGCCTTCTGGTCCTGGAACTTGTTCACCAACTCAACGATCGGGTAAACTTCAGCATCGCCATAATCGACACTTTGGGCACCAACAACTTTGGCAGGCGCATAGAGGCCCCAGGGGACGACATGCACCTGCAGGGGTCTCTGCCAAACGTTTCGACTGCACAGTTCTTCAGCTTTTGCTGCAGAGGTGCTGGGGACGTGGTTGTTCGCCACACATGACGGTAAATGCCACCGCCATCATACCACCAACCATCCGGCGCGGTGGCATCCACAAGGACAGCAAGCACGTTGCTGCAGCCAGACCTGAGAATCAAAGAGCTGTCATCGCGACAAGTTAGAAGTGTCGGCCCAAACATGAAACCCTACATCATCACATAAATGCCTATATAAAAAATACAGATATATAATATATGTATAGATATGAATATAGATATACAAATACACAGAATATGGAGATGTAAACATGATCTTGAGAGGAGGAGAATCTGCCTCATGCTTGTTTCAAGCCAGGAGACTCCAAGGGTGCTGGAGAGATGTCCAGGATTTGAGGTGTGTAGCCGGAGGAATGGCTTCCCAGGAAGGCACCATTCAGCCACACCTCCAAAGGGTGAAGCATAGAGATGCGTGGCCGCTTGTGGCTGAAGCCTCTCGTTATTTTTCCTACTGGAACTCCTTTCTGCTCAAAATGTTACCCTCGGGTGGCTAACAAAAGGTATGCTAAGAAATAACAGGAGACAAGAAAAGACACCAAAAGAAAAACACCACCAAGAAAACAACCACGAAACAAGAAAAACACGACCCCCCCACACACACACACAAAAGAACACGGTGATAAATCACACAGAAGAAACCAAAAGAAACAAAATATTTAAAAAAAAAAAACACGAGACAAGAAAAACAACGTGAGAGATCACACTGATGAAAAAAGTAAACAAAAGAAAAGGTGTAAAAAAAAACCTATAAAAAATAACAAAGACAAGAAAAAAACACCAAAAGAAACAAACCACCCAAACACTAAAAGGAGACAGTGAAAAAACGAACAACAGAAACAACCTGCCAAGGAAATAAATACAGGAGAAAACAAAATATGGATGCACGGTGTTCCAAAACGAAATTAATCTCACACGTTCCAAAACGGTATCAAATCTCGCGTTCCAAAACGAGGCGGTTCCCAAAACAAGGCTGAAGCCCGGAATGCCAGAATGCCCCAAAAAACTGTCTTCTTCTTCTTCTTCTGCGCCACCACCACCGAACAACAACAACAACAACAATCACTTACCAATATAGACTACCAGGACGATGACAACTACTACCACCACCACTGTTGGCGGAATAATTGCAGCACCCCGTGAAACCAAAACATCGTAAATACTACTGTGGCTGTCCTCCTCCCAGGTCAGAAAGTCATTCTTTAACATTGAATATTATATAGTCTGATAGTCCCTCTAGGCTGTCTCTGTTTCTTCGCCAAGTCTGTGCACCTTGCTCTTCACCATGACACCTTCGAACTCCAACCAGCTCTGCCGGCTCCCCTCCATGATTTCTGCAGCCTCTTGTAAACAGAGTTGCCTGCGATACCATGCCACACCGTATGGTAGGTAGCCATGCGATTTGTCCGCGCGAGGGGTGAAATTTCCAGCGACAACAAAATCATGGGGGACATCGATCTGCGTCCAGGTAGAATCCTTGGATTGAAAGGCAAGATCAAGAGCTTGCTCTTTGTGCATGCATGATATTTCTTTCCCGTGAAACCACTTCTGCAAGCAAGCTGCATTGAAGTCTCGCAAACACTGCTGAAAATTGCAGGGATGTCCTGGACGGGGCTCTGGTTCTGGTTCCCGAGAGGGGTCGCCTGTAGCCAGGGTGCTCAAACAGGCTGACAGAAAGCAAATGCACAAAGGCAGGATGGCATCCGCCTTGTCCTTCCCACTCGCCATGACCACTGCAGTCTCTCTGAATATCGATCAGCCCTATCGGACTGAAGAGAATGCAAACAAGCGACGATGAAGCATGTCATACTTTTCATGTGACGGTCAGTTCGGCTCCCCCCTGCGTCCTTTGAAACAAGTATTCGGAGATTCGCAGCCAGCGTTGTCACCACACCACTGCCACGCATTGCAGGAAGAATCATCACCTCGTACCAAAGTGTGAAGAAACATTCATCAATCGAAATCGTTGCAGTATTGTAATTGACCTTGGGCCTAGCACACCGCCAAGCCGCAACAAGCGTCCCGGCAGGCAGCCGCACTGCCTGGGGCGCCATCCTCCGGACGGCCCTGGGGCGCTAGGCTCGGGCAGCGGCCTCACCACGTCGGCAGCGAAAACAGAAAGCGATGAAAGGACACAAGACGATTGTTGTATGTTCTTGTTAAGCCTGTTAAGCCTTAAGCGTTTGTATTCTCACATTGTAACTCGATGTCTCATGACGTCATGCGCCTCGTAGGGCGGAGGGAAAGGTCTGCGAGTTGCAGCGTCGTAGCTGCTGCTCCTCATGCACGAAGCGCCAGCCCTGATCCAAATTTTCCACCTTCCACAGGACTTGCGGCAGCTGAAATGGATGGAATGATTCTGTTGATCTGCCAATCAATTGTCAAAAAGCAGCCAAGCGCATGCGGCTACAGTTGGCGAATCTCCACATTCAAAGCTGCTTCATTCAAAGTTGGTTCTAGATTCGAGTTCAAGGGCAGCCCGTGTGGCAAGTCTCCACCGCACGCCTCGCGCCCAGCCAAGCAAAGGGTGGGAAAGAGCAAGGCAGCGCGAAGCATTGCTGAATGTCACAGGCCAGTTACCGCTCTATGTTTTTCAGCATCTTCCTTGTGAAGATCCATCCCTCCCCACCAACCCGAGTGGCTTGGTGTCTGTGGGCGCACATTTTCGTTGGTAATGCAACACCCACATCAATGACAGAAGCTCAACCTCTGCATCTTTGTCCACCTTGTGCGCGCGGTATCCGCTAAAAGCTTGAGCCAACCAAAGTCGCGTATCTCGATCCGGACTGGCACTACTCCAGATCCTGGCATGTGAACACCCTGTTCCATCCTTGCATTCCATGGCTCATCCAGCCTCCAACCTGCCGCCTCGTGGCCACCGCCTTTTCTCCATTCCTTGGTGGCAAATGCCGCTCATCCCCACTGATAGCACCCTGGCGCAAGGTAGTAGTTGAGCTGCAGACAAGTCTGGCACCTACAAACACAGCGAGGATGTGCGGCGTCGGCACATGGCAATGACACATGTGGCATCAACAGGTTTTGGGTGAGGTCAAAGCCTGCAGCAACTGTGATACACACAAGCATCCTCCAGCGAAACATTTTGGTCTGCGCAGGTCAGTCATGCTCTTATGACTTTTTGGACAAAGTGAAACAGTTGGCCAAGGCAAACCACAAAGGGCAAAGCCCCAGGCGGATCCTACGTATGACTTCCCGGATGTTGTATGACAACGAGTTTGAGCACCTGCGCACGTTGCTACTAGGGTGGAAGCCATCGCGTTACTAGGGTGGAAGCCATTGCTACTAGGGTGGGCCATCGCTACTAGGGTGGAGGCCATTGCTCTTGGGTTGTAGGTTTCGTCTCGCCTTTCCGCTCCGGGTCTTTGCCCTCAGCCATAAGGCGATGGAGCTGGGCAGGTCGCAGCAGCCCGTGTTCTTCGCCAGCTAGCCCTGGGCTCATAGAATTGATGTAGAGTCTTGATGAATAAACCATAATAAACCCACCCCATTGGATTTAAAACCTCTTCATATGGGGGGGTTGCAAATCAAGAGTCTACATTGCCAAAGCCATGGTATCAAAGGTTGGAGTGTGCAACTGGTCTAGCTGCTCCTTATGCCAATGGTCCAATGGTTCTTGACGATTTACCATCCACATCCATCCACTGCAGAAGTCAAGCAAAGCTAGCAGTTGGTGAGGGCAAATGATCTGAGGACCCTGCTTTTGAGGAGTATGATTGGAATACACATCCCGAAGGTACTCAATCCCTTGCCGGAAGAGCTTGGCCTGCCACAAGCGCAAGGGTCCATCGATTGAGTGAATTTCATGGGCCAAGAGTGGGCCACAAAGACCAAGAGACGCGTCGCGCCTCTTCAATCAAATCCTCCGTGACTTTCTCGTTGCTCTTGCGTATGCTTTGAAAACCTGGGAGTTCATCTTGCATGGCTGGCAGTATGCGACAGATTTGGCTGAAGTCTGCCATATCATGCAAATATATTAATACTGTAAATGTGTATATGTTTAGATATGTTTAAAGGCCCGTGCCCTTTTGATGCTTGCGAAAGCGTTGCACCAACACATTACATAGGACATAGGACCATCGGGTGTTGCTAAACAAAATGAATGCTCATTTCCCAAGCCACGATGAATGTCTGCATCAGAGGAGTCCATGATGGCCTGCATAAAGCAGCCGGACACTCTGCCCACAGGTCGCAAGTAAAAGGGTTACCTTTTTGAAGCTCGCTCTAAAGGCTGGGCCTAAAAAATCCAAAAAAGCACCACGCCTGCTTCTTCAGCTCCAGCTGAGCCTTTGGATGACGCATTTAAGTGGCAACATCCGCTGCCAAGCGAATGACCCAGAGATTGACTGGCACCATCCAGCACCGAAAAGCACCCAACCTTGATCTCACTCTCCATACTGTCCCCCACCTGGAACGAGCGATTCCCGTCGCGATCGAGCGATTCGCGACGTGTCTTCCAAAGCATAAACTTCACTCACACAGGCTTGGAATTCAGGCCTCTTTCAAGTCAACCTCTTGCAGGCTGGACTCCTGATGCCAACATCGTCGTCTCATGTGTGTGCATCATGATGTCCCATGCCCTCAACAAAATCGCATGATGATTATATACATGGCAGTGCATTCCCCACTGCTATCCCTGCCACACCTCCTGCACTGCTTGGACCTCACTTCTCAAGGCATCGCTTTGTCGAAGCAGCCTTGCATGGCTCACTCACATCAGCTAACCACTGCCAAGAAAGGGAGTAAGATGGAGTAAGGATTTCTTTGTCCATTTCAGAAAGATTTGTTCCATTGGACTACTGACTGCTGCCACCCAGGCACTCAGCTTCCAATTGTGCAATTGCCTCCTGACCTCGGATCTCCTCGGTTGAAGGCTAGTTGATGCTTCGGTTGTCTGACTGTGGCACTGTAAGATACGGATACGTGCTTACGAACGCGTTCGTGAGTAGAATTGGCCCAGGCATGCTTCAATTCAAGCATTTGCTGGAAGGCTTTGGGGCGTGTGAGAAAAGCGTGCGGGTGGTAAGGCACCGAAGCGCAAACAAAAATGACAAGCTGCAAGAAACAGGTGCGAGGTCTCAACAAGCCAGGCAATGGCGGCGCTTCGCAAGACAAGCAAAACTACGCCAGCATAGACCCCACATAGCACAAGACTTTTGTGCGAAGCACAGTGCAGCGGCACCAGCACCCAGGCTCAAACACCTCTTGCTATACTTGAAGTAAGAAGCCCAATAGCTCTCGCTATCTGGGGAATAATAATGATGTCATTCAGGCTAAAGCCACGGATGTCGACAATCTCCACCCATTGCTGGCAATCAAGGACATCGAGGCAATCAAGGAAGAGATGGTTAGGACCGTATATTTGGACCATCCCCTGGTCCAGTGCCACTGCTGGTCAAAAAACAGTCGACGCAGGCGGGCCTGCAGAAAAAGGCATGGAAATTCGACTGACGAAAGGTGCAGTCATGAAAGGTGATGATTGGGTACTACACAACCATAGCTTGTCTATCAAGTACCCCCGGAACATATATATAATGTATGCATGTTTGTTTGTTTGCTTGCTTGCTGGCGTGGGGGGACGAAAGCCAGCTGCTGCTAAGCGAGTTTCTCGCAGGCACCCCCACCGAAGCTCAATCCAAATTCATGGATTTGAACTCATGTCGCTCTCGGCTCTCTATGGGCTTGGCGAGTGTTGTCGTGGGAACTCGTATCCTACGTGCGGCTGCGGTCTGCTCTGTACGCTAATGATGCACTACTCGGCGTCCATTACATCACTTGCATCACCAGACCCCATTTTCACTGCTTTTCGGACCCTCGCTTTGGAGCGCTCTCCCCACCAAGCTCTGGGTTCACCCTATCAAAAGGTTCTGCTCAGCGACCACCCGACCCTCACACCCCCTTAACTCACTTCGTTCGCCCTAAAAGCTCAAGCCTTGCTGGCTTTCATAACGTATATATATATTTTTTTTTTGATTAATTTACTTATTATATAGTATTAATATTGATATACACGCGTATATTATAAACTGTCCCGCCAACTGCCTGCTCCTGGGAATATAATGGAATAGGATCAATACTATAGCTCCAAACAATATCCACGACCTGATTAAGCGAACATAGTTTCAGCACTTAAGAGTGTAAAGCTTGGCAGGGGATGCTTGTCATCTGATTTCTGTAGAGTAGTCCTGCTGCTCCAACATCAGTTTCAACTTCTCATCTTCCTCTGCCCAACGTGCCTGGACGAAGAACAAGAAATCAAGAAAGGGTAAAGAATTAATGGATCTCTCTCTCTCTCTGTGCCTCAAAGGCTGCGTCCATCTCAGCAAGCTCCTTCTGGAGTTCCCCAACCTTCTCATCTTTCAATCCAATTTGATCAAATGGCGCAGGGCACGAAAAAAGTACAACTCGTTTGCATCTATATGTACAGTATATATAGCTCTGCCCAAAGCACCTCTGCCTCATGCTTTTGCCTCAGGCAAGACCATTGTCCTAGACTGGTCCTACATGACAGCTGGCTGTTCGTTTCTTCCACACCGTGTGCCAGGCTTCCGAATCTGCCATTGCTCCTGGTTTCTTCAGCGCATGACTGCTAGACCAAGAACACTTGGGCAAAGCCGCAAAGCCGCTTAGCCGCTTTACTTGCCAAGACGTAGATTTGTGTTGGGCAGTGGCAGCCATACATGACCAACCATCAAATATTTTTTGTGAAAAACAAAGCGATCAAAAAACAAAACAAAAGCAAATGAAAATGCAAAAGCAGCGCAGTTTGCTTTGTTTTTGCAATTGTGTTGTTTTTGTTTTTTGTGTTTTTCCTTGT